CTGTTATAAATTTTTGGCCGAATTTGATTTTTCCTTGGGTTGTTAGCATTTTTGGAGGTTGCCAATCTATTGTCGTGAATTTTGGGCCGGAATAAATAATTTGCTCTCCCTTGCATTGCAGCAGGTGGTCAGTGGTTTGCATTGCAGCAGGTGGTCAGTGGTTTGCTCTTCTCCACACTTGCATGTCGTGGATTCTATTTTGTAGCTCCATTTCTTAAGGTTGGCTCTGCATCTTGTTGTGCCAGATAGCAGCCTGTTCAGCGCCTTCCTTCCTAATCACCCAGTCTTCTGTGTGCCCAGGGGGGAGTCTCTCATTCGGCATCAGCCACTGATTGAAGTGCTGGGTTTAAGCCTGCCACTTTTGGACTCTTGCTTGTTGAGGTGTTCCTGCAAGTATCTTTGTAGAGCTTAGAAAACTATTTCTTGATATAATTCATGTTTTGTCTAAATATTTCATGGACAGAATCACTGGGGTGTTGTGTGGTTCTAGCAGCATTTTCTCCTGATGTTTCGCCTGCATCTGTGGCTAATGGCACTTTCAAAGGATCATAATTGCTATTTTTTTACTTGAGAAAACACCTCTCTAGGAACTAGAAGCGGACCGTAAAATTGTACTGATTCAGTCTTCTCCTTAGTGGTAAATATCCACTAGTATTCATACAAGGCAAATTAGGCTTCTCACCTGTTAGACTGATATACCTGGTTATCTCTCTGAACTGTTAGGAACAAAGACATGCCAATGCATAAAATATAGAGCAGATCTTCAGAAGTGTTGTTTTAGTTGCCTAAAATATATGTACTCTCCTTCTAATCGTGCTCTCAAGAGACCAAAAGTTAACTTCGTTAAAAGTTAACATAGTTGATTTTGTTACAAACTGCATGTTTTTAGCATACAGGTGTATTGCTTATTGGTTTCATGAATTATACTTATAACTGTACTATGCTGTACTACACTTCCAATTCACTGTACTATACATCTGCTGCAAACAGACTCCTATATTAACCGAACATCTCACTGCCGCATACTGACTATACTCCTACTCTAACTGACATCAACCGATTCAACCGACTTCTAACTCAAACCTCAACTGACTTCTAACTAACTTAACTGACTCCATTACTCTGAACATTCTAAGATTTGGGTTACATGGTCAGTAGCCCCTCCCACAACTTCTAACAACATAGAGTTAAGGGGAAAACTCCATACCAACATATACACACAATACCATAAGCAATCTGAATTGCATACATAACAAATAACTAGTATAGGAGGCTTGTAGAAGGTTGCTATTTCCAACAAGACATGTGTTTAGCCTAAAAGAACGTATAACGTGAGGCAAGTCTCCAAATCACCCATGATCATCCTTTGCGTTGTCCAGTCGCTGGCAGGTGGCTTTTCCTGAACAGGCACTAGATTAGTAAGCAGTGAAGAATGGCTTCGCATGAGTTAAGGCAAGGCTAATGCTGTTGTGTTTAGTTAGTGTCTGGCCCATGTAAACAACGCCTTTTCTGGTCTCTCTTCACAGGTAGCAACAACAGCATCTTTGCTCCTGTCCTTCTGCCACAATCAAGTGAGTATGCCAGCGGCCCCTGCCCAAACCCACAAGCCTTTTGAACAAGGGGGCACACACAATCACAGGCCTGGCAAACTTTCTAACTTGGGAGCCACACACTAGCACTCCCTGCTAGGAGGACTGGCTGCCCGGAAAGATATGGAAGGAGAAAGAGGGATGCAAGGAGGAAGGAAAGACAAAAGGGAGGGAAGGAAGGATGAAAGGGTGGAAGGGAAGGGAGGGGAGGGGAGGGGAGGGAGGAAGGGAGGGAAGGGAGGGAGGGAGGGAGGGAGGGAGGAATGGAGGAAGGAAGGAAGGAGGGAGGAAGAGGAGAAGAAGGAGGGAAGGGAAGAGGAAGGGGAGGGAGGGAGAGAAGGAGGGAGGGAGAAAGAGAGAAGGAAGGAGAAAGGGTGGAGAGGGAAGGAAGGAAGGATGAAAGTGTGGAAAAGAAGAGGGAAGGGGAGAAGAGAAGGAGGAGGAGGGAGAAAAGGAAGGAAGGAAGAAGAAAGGGGGAAGGAAAGAAAGGAAGGGAGGAGAGAGGAAGAGAAGGAGAAGGGGGGAAGAAGAAGGGTGGAAGGGAAGGAAGGGGAGGAAGAGAAGGAGGAAGGAAGGAAGGAAGAAGGAAAAGGAAGAAGGAAGGAAGGAGAAAGGTGGAAGGGAAGGGAGGGAGGAAGAAGGATGGAAGGAAGAAAAAAGAAGGAAGGAAGGATGGAAAGGAAGGGAAAAAGAGAAGGAAGGAAGGAAAGAAGGGGGAAGGGAGGGGGGAGGAAGAGGAAGAAAAAAGAGAGGGAGGGAAAGAGAGAGGGAGGAGGGAGGGAAGGAAAGAAAGGGAGGAGGGAGGGAGGGAGGGAGGGAGGAAAAGAGAAGGAAGGAAAAGGGGGAAGGAAGGGAAGGAAGGAGGGGGAACAAGGAAGGAAAAAGAGGGAGGGAGGAAGAGAAAGGAGGAGGAAGGAAGGAAAAGGAAGGAAAGAGAAGGGAAGGAAGGAAGAAAGTGGAAGGGGGGAAAAAAGAAAAAGGAAGACAAAGGGAAGGAAGGAGGGAGGAAAGAGAAGGAAGGAAAGACAAAAGGGGAAGTAAGGAAGGAAAGAAGGAAGGAGAAAGAGGGAGGGAAGGAGGAAGGAAGGAAAGAAAGAGAGAGAGAAGGAAGGGCCTGAGAAAAGAGTCCAAGGGGCCACATCCAGCCCCTGGGCCTGGGTTTGCCCATTCCTGTACTATCAGATCACTTTACTCCTGTGTGCAGGGTAAGAAACCAATTATGTTGTTTTCTTCTGTGATAAAGAGCCTTGTCTTTTGAAAATGGAAAACAAAAAAAAAGATATTTACATTTTCTTAATTCTTTGCTCAAGTCTTTTAAAGTCTTACTCTGTGTGACAGAGATTGTTTTTCTGCTAGTTTGTTTTGCTAAAAGGATGGGCCGAACCTTAGACGCCTGCAGACGGGAAGGACTGAAAGGGCCCGTCCTCCTTCTCTGCCAATGCAGGAATCCCTGAGAGGCCTCCTTGTAATATTAGCCCACTGGTCCAGATCCTATTTCTGCAGAGCAACAGAAAATAAGCTTAACCCACCTTCTGCAAAACACCCCCTCGGATATTTGATACACACACGCTGCATTCCTCCATCAGAAATGCTGAAATAGTGCAGGTTTTTTTGACTCAGGATTGTATTGTCGAAGGCTTTCATGGCTGAAATCACTGGGTTGTTGTAGGTTTTCTCGGGCTATATGGCCATGTTCTAGAGGCATTCTCTCCTGACATTTCGCCTGCATCTATGGCAAGCATCCTCAGAGGTAGTGAGGTCTGTTGCAACTAGGAAAATTGGGTGGAATGACCAGGGTGGGGCAAAGAACTATTGTCTGTTGGAGCTAGGTGGGAATGTTTCAACTGACCACCTTGATTAGCATTTGATGGCCTGGCAGTTTTTTGGTGTGGCCATTGAAATCCATAAGCATGTGGACAATTTCAACAGAAAGGAGGAAACCATGAAAATGAACAAAATCTGAATACCAGTATTAAAAAACTCTAAAATTACAACAGCAAAACAACAGAGAGGAAACAGTCTGGGACATCTAATCACCTCTCAACAAAAGATTGCCCCAGGCACAAACAAGCCACACCAAACAACTGCCAGGCCTTTAAATGCTAATCGAGGTGGTCAGTTGAAACATTCACCCCTAGCTCCAACAGACAAGAGTCCATTGTCCCACCCTGGTCATTCCACAAATATATAAACCCAATTTTCCTAGTTCCAACAGACCTCACTACCTCTGAGGTTGCTTGCCATAGATGCAGGCGAAACATCAGGAGAGAATGCCTCTAAAACATGGCCATACAGCCCGAAAAACCTACAACAACCCAGTGACTCAGGATTGTTGGGAAGAAAATGCAGTCAGTGATGAAGAAGAGCAGCAGAATATTAATCTGCTCTCTTTTCATTCTTTCTCACTCCCTCCCTTGTGTTTTGCAGAAACATTCTTCAGTTCATGTGGGAGTCTGCATAAACTGAGCGAAGAGACCCTGGTGCCTCCTCCTCTACCACCGCGCAAGAAGATGGATCAGGATCCTTCAAACTCAAAGGTAGATCTCCTGCCCGAGAGAATCTGGCTGGGAAAACGCGCTTGTAGGCCGTGAACAGAACAGGGATCTCGGGGCCACGTGAGATTTAGCTTCTTCTCTCCTTGGCTCTCTTATTTATTAGCTACGTTTATATTACATCATTCTCCCACTGGGTTCTATGTGCTGTGCACCTCACCTCACAACAAGGGGATTGGTGCAGATAGTGGAAATGTGCTTTTTTGAGGTTATTTTTCTCTCATTTTGCTAGAACATTTAAGCCCACTGAGTTAGATTAAGTGGTACAGGGTAAGCATCCCTTCTAATCCTCAAAAATCCACAAGTGTCCACACAGTTAGCTTTTTTATTTGTCGTGTCAGGGCAACCAGTCAATTATATTACATTTCTAACAGAACAAAGCAAACAAACAGACAAAATACAAAATTTGTGAGTTTGGTAATTGATTAAATGTCCTTTGACCAGTATCTGGCCACTTGGAGTGCTCTCTGGTGTTGCTCTAAGAAGGTCCTCCATTGTGCATGTGGCAGGGCTCAGGTTGCATTGCAGCAGGTGGTCAGTGGTTTGCTCTTCTCCACACTTGCATGTTGTGGATTCCACTTTGTGGCCCCATTTCTTGAGGTTGGCTCTGCATCTCGTGGTGCCAGAGTGCAGTCTGTTCAGCGCCTTCCAAGTCGCCCAGTCCTCTGTGTGCCCAGGAGGGAGTGTCTCATTTGGTATCAGCCATGGATTGAGGTGCTGGGTTTGAGCCTGCCACTTTTGGACTCTCACTTGCTGAGGTGTTCCAGCGAGTGTCTCTGTAGATCTTAGAAAACTATTTCTAGATTTAAGTCGTTGACGTGCTGGCTGATACCCAAACAGGGGATGAGCTGGAGATGTCTCTGCCTTGGTCCTTTCACTATTGGCTGCTGCTTCCCGGCGGATGTCAGGTGGTGTAATGCCGGCTAAGCAGTGTAATTTCTCCAGTGGTGTAGGGCGCAGGCACCCCGTGATAATGCGGCATGTCTCATGAAGAGCCACATCCACTGTTTTAGTGTGGGGAGATGTGCTCCACACTGGGCATGCGTACTCAGCAGCACAGTAGCACAGCGCAAGGACAGATGTCTTCACTGTGTCTGGTTGTGATCCCGGTGAAGACATCTGGGATCACAAATATCTCAGTTGGCTGAGATATAGTGACACCTTTGCTTTTTGATAGTTCAGTATAATCAAAACTTTGCCTCCTACCAAAAAAATTTGTGTCCATGAGATGTATTATGAAACATATATAATCATCATCATCATAAACTTTATTTGTACCCCGCCACCATCTCCCCAAAGGGGACTCGGGTCGACTAACATGAGGCCAAGCCCAGAATTACAGTACAACAAAATAAAATAAAATTCAAACGGCAAATAATAACATTAAAACAAAAAACATAAAACAACAGGAAATGAAATAAACAGATACAAAATAACATGATGAAAAAAATAAAATAAAAGCACAGTGGGCGGGCCAAATGCACAGAATAAGATTGATAAAACCCTGGGTGAAATAAGTACTGTATATACTCAAATATAAGCCTAGTTTTTCAGCTCTTTTTTAGACTGAAAAAGTCCCCCTCGGCTTATACTTGAGTCAAGGTTATTTATTATAGAATCATAGAATCAAAGAGTTGGAAGAGACCTCCTGGGCCATCCAGTCCAACCCCATTCTGCCAAGAAGCAGGAATATTGCATTCAAAGCACCCCTGACAATCACCCATGACAGTTGGGAGAATACAGATTTTATTTTTTAATTTTTTGCACTGTAAACGACACACTACGCTTGTTTTCAACTGACATCCCGTTCGTTGCACTGAGCCCAAAACAAAAAAAGGGGTTGCCAGTGTTTTGTTCCTGACATTATTTTACTATGTCATCATCATCATCATCATTATTATTATTATTATTATTATTATTATTATTATTATTATTATTATTACTATCATTACATTTATTATTTTACTTTATTATTGTTATTACATTTATTGTTTACATTTATTATTTTTCTCTATTATAACTCTTATTACTACATTTCCATTATTTTAATGGCGAAATGACAGGAGAAAATGCTGCTAGAACACATTGGCCATACAGCTCGGAAAGCACGCAACACCTCCCAATGATTCTGCCCGTGAAAGCCTTCATAGAATCATAGAATCAAAGAGTTGGAAGAGACCTCATGGGCCATCCAGTCCAACCCCCTGCCAAGAAGCAGGAATATTGCATTCAAAGCACCCCTGACAGATGGCCATCCAGCCTCTGTTTAAAAGCTTCCAAAGAAGGAGCCTCCACCACACTCCGTGGCAGAGAGTTCCACTGCTGAACGGCTCTCACAGTCAGGAAGTTCTTCCTCATGTTCAGATGGAATCTCCTCTCTTGTAGTTTGAAGCCATTGTTCCATTGCGTCCTAGTCTCCAAGGAAGCAGAAAACAAGCTTGCTCCCTCCTCCTCCCTGTGGCTTCCTCTCACATATTTATACATGGCTATCATATCTCCTCTCAGCCTTCTCTTCTTCAGGCTAAACATGCCCAGCTCCTTAAGCCGCTCCTCATAGGGCTTGTTCTCCATACCCTTGATCATTTTAGTCGCCCTCCTCTGGACACATTCCAGCTTGTCAATATCTCTCTTGAATTGGCCCTGCTCATGCTTCCACCTTCGACAACTCATCTTTTCTTTCTGTTTCAGGGCGGCTCCAAATCGGAAGAGGGTCCCCCCGCCATCCCGCCGCGGCAGCCTCCTCCTCCGAAGATCCAGCCCCGCGTGCCGGCGCTCTCCTGCGGCCCCCTCGACCAGCCCCTGCCGCCGAGCCCCCCTCCGCCCCCTCCCCCTCCGCGGGACCCCCTCCCGGACACCCCTCCTCCGGTGCCCCTGCGGCCCCCGGAGCACTTTGTGAACTGCTCCTCCTTCCTCCTGCAGCAGCCGCCCCTGGGCCGCTTCCACCGGGACCCCGACCGGCTGCGGGAGGGCGGCTCATGCCCCGGCTCGCCCGGCACGCCGCCCGGGACCCCCTCGCCCCGCGTCCTGCGCCGCTGGTGCGGGCTCAGCCCCGGCCCCAACCCCAGCCCGGAGCCCCCACCGCCCCCGGTCCCGCCGCGCCACAACTCCAGCCCGCAGCTTCCCAAACTGCCGCCAAAGACTTACAAGCGAGAGTTCTCCCACCCTCCTTTGCACAGACACTCTTTGCTCGAGAACGCCGAGGCGCCTCAATGACCGCCGCTCGACACAGGAGTCTTTGACACTGGAAGCATCGTAGCTGTATAGAGTTCCCGTTTTCTTGTTTTCGTTGTGGTTGTTGTTGTTTTTTAATTTATTCCAAGAAGGGCGGTGAGCGTCTCCGAGTGCTGTGGCGAGCGGCGCTTGTGCCCAGGAGGCTGCTGGCCCATCGGGGTTCTCGAGCAAGAGCGCCGCCTTGACCCCGCTTCCCGGCCTTTTTTGCATCAAGGGACCAGCAGCAGCAGCACTGCCTCCTCCAACTCCAACTCCTCCTCAGCGCCAACGGTTTTGCCAGTTGGGAGAATACAGATTTTATTTTTTAATTTTTTGCACTGTAAACGACACACTACGCTTGTTTTCGACTGACATCCCGTTCGTTGCACTGAGCCCAAAACAAAAAAAGGGGTTGCTGGTGTTTTGTTCCTACTTTTTAACCTCGAGACCGGAGCACAAGCGGCCTTTTTCAACACAAAACACACATCTAAATTTCTTAACAATCCAGCAGGAAGTGCCTCCTTTCCAGGAAGCATCCCGACGATTGGAAGGGAAACTTAAGACCATTTAGCCTACTTTTTTTTCTCTGTGAGGAGTGACTATGAGAAACTGCAAGTCACTTCTGGTGTGAGAGAATTCTCTTTCTGCAAGGACGTTGCCCAAGGGATGTTTTGATGTTTTACCATCCTTGTGGGAGGCTTCTCTCATGTCCCCACGTGGGGAGCTGGAGCTGACAGAGGGAGCTCATCTACTCTCTCCCCAGCCTGTCGGCCTGACCTGCTGATTTCCATAGGAGACTCCCTAGTGATTTCTGTCTGCAAGGGGTGGCATTTCCCACCTAACATGAAGAAGTATATCATGTTTCTGAAATCAGGAGGAGGAAAATAGATTTCTCTAAGACTTTCCTGCTGTTCTGGAAAGTTAATAGAGACTGTGTCTTAATTTATTGTCGAAGGCTTTCATGGCCGGAATCACTGGATTGTCGTAGGTTTTTCAGACGGCATAGCCATGTTCCAGAAGCATTCTCTCCTGATGTTTCGTCTGCATCTATGGCAGGCATCCTCAGAGGTCGAGAGGTCTGTTGGAAACTAGGAAAATTGGGTTTATATATTTGTGAAATGTCCAGGATGGGAGAAAGAACTCTTGTCTGTTGGAGCTAAGTGTAAATGTTTCAATTGGCCACCTTGATTAGTATTAAATGGCCTGACAGGTTTTTGGGATGGCTTGTTACTGCCTAGGGGAATCCTTTCTTGAGAGGTGATGAGCTATCCCTGATTGTTTCTTGTCTGGAGTTCCCCTGTGTTTGAGTTTTGTTTTTTATTTACTGTTATAATTTTAGAGTTTTTTAAAATACTGGTAGCCATATTTTGTTCATTTTCATGGTTTCTGTCTTGGTGTCACCTTAACATTTAGGAAACACTGTGTGAACACCAAGCACAAAGTAGCTGCATGTCCTGAGCTGCCCTCCAAAAACAGCCTTTAGACAGTGTTGTAAGTAAAAGAAAAATGCTTTACTTGACACAAAGGATAAGCAAATGCAATTGAAAAGTGCAAAAGAAAACAAGGAAGTCTTAATCCAGACAGAAATCAAAGTCTCTTACAAAGTCCCAAAAGAAACACCAGTCTTCCATCAGAAAGCGGGCAATGAAGCAGCAGACACAAAGCAGATTTCATTGAAGTGAAAACATCAGTATCAGGGTCGTTGTTACCAGCAAAAGCTGACTGCTCCTGCCTCTGATTTATAGCCCTGAATTCCTCATGCAGGAGTCTCCCAATTAGCTCAGCGTTTTTAGCAGCTATCCTAGCTGAACGCCCTAACACAGGAGGTGCTAGGGCGTCTCCCAATTAGCTCAGCGTTTTTAGCAGCTATCCTAGGTGAACGCCCTAACACAGGAGGTGCTAGGGTGTCTCCCAATTAGCTCAGCGTTTTTAGCAGCTATCCTAGCTGAACGCCCTAACACAGGAGGTGCTAGGGCGTCTCCCAATTAGCTCAGCGTTTTTAGCAGCTATCCTAGCTGAACTCCCTAACACAGGAGGTGCTAGGGTGTCTCCCAATTAGCTCAGTGTTTTTAGCAGCTATCCTAGCTGAACGCCCTAACACAGGAGGTGCTAGGGTGTCTCCCAATTAGCTCAGCGTTTTTAGCAGCTATCCTAGCTGAACTCCCTAACACAGGAGGTGCTAGGTGTCTCCCAATTAGCTCAGCGTTTTTAGCAGCTATCCTAGCTGAACTCCCTAACACAGGAGGTGCTAGGGCGTCTCCCAATTAGCTCAGCGTTTTTAGCAGCTATCCTAGCTGAACGCCCTAACACAGGAGGTGCTAGGGTGTCTCCCAATTAGCTCAGCGTTTTTAGCAGCTATCCTAGCTGAACTCCCTAACACAGGAGGTGCTAGGGCGTCTCCCAATTAGCTCAGCGTTTTTAGCAGCTATCCTAGCTGAACGCCCTAACACAGGAGGTGCTAGGGTGTCTCCCAATTAGCTCAGCGTTTTTAGCAGCTATCCTAGCTGAGCGGCGTCTGTGCTCTGTCTCTTTTCGTCTCTCTAGAAATGTGGGCACTTTCAAAACCTCCTCATCTGATTCTTCTTCTCCCTCCAATTCCTGAGCACTTCCCTGTTCCCCTTCCTCTTCTGAAGATGAGGAATCCCTAACATTTTTTTCCTCCAACAGACAAGAGTTCTTTCTCACACCCTGGACAAACCGTAACTACTGTAAACTGCTTTGAGTAGCCCAAGGGCTGGGAAAAGTGGTATATAAATATAGTAAATAATAATAATAATAATAATAATAATAATAATAGATATATAAACCCAATTTTCCTAGTTTCCAAGAGACTTCACAACCTCTGAGGATGCCTGCCATAGATGCAGGCGAACATCAGGAGAGAATGCTTCTGGAACATGGCCATACAGCCTGAAAAACATACAACTCTCTGTCTTAATTTCCATTGATTTTGCTGCTGAAGAGAAGAAAGCACGAGTTCCTAAAGACAAAAAAAAAATAACGTTTTGGTTATTACGTGAGACAAAAGGAAGCGAATCCTGCCTCACTCAGTTATTTATCCAAAAGAGAAAAGGAAAAGAAAGTATTTAGCATGTGTCAGGTTCAGTTGTGCCTTTTGCTCATTTGGGCGAGCGGAGGTGTCTTAAGCTCAAGCGGTTGCCTGCTGTTTTCGACGAACAAAGCTATTACGCCATACGATGTACAGTTTGTTTATATTGTATATTTACAGATTAATGACCTGTATGCATTTCTGTGGCTCCGTGGCCTACTCTGTCTGCGGTCTTTTTACTCCCGTGCGCTGTACACTGTTTTGAGCGTTTTCCCGGCGTCTTTTGTGGAGGAAAATGCGGCCTTCAGGACTCTAAAAAATCATGTACGTTCTCAATTCAGATTCTTCATCACGGTGGCGTTCTTTCTGGAAATCTGGTTGTTCAGTCCAACGAGTTCCAGGGAACCCAATCCAAGACTTTTCAAACCATTGGAACCAAAATTGGAACCGTTTTTCTGCGGCGGAGAAAATTCATTTTGGTTCCACGTACTGTCGAATCCGAAAGCCTTTTTTCTTGGAACGGTCCGTGGCCTTTTACTGTGCTTTTACTATCAAGAGTTCTTAACCAGATTAATAAATCAATCCAGTCTTAATTTTTAAGAAAGTTTGGTCACATTGTGTGGGTTTCTTTTTTTTGTCTTGTCAAGGAATCTTCTTCAACCTCATTGATTTGCAATTCTATTCAAATAGAACAAAAGATGTTAGATGGGCATGGGCCAACTTGGTCCCTCCCTCCAGGTGTTTTGGACTTCAATTCCCACAATTCCTAACAGCCGGTAGGCTGTTAGGAATTGTGGGAGTTGAAGTCCAAAACACCTGGAGGGAGGGCCCAAGTTGGCCCGTGCCTGATTTAGCAGGTAAATATAATAATGACGGTATGCCAATGGTAATAATAATCATCATCATCTAAATAAATAAAAATGTAATGTTCGTTTGTGGGATTAACATAACTCAAAAACCACTGGACGAATTGACACCAAATTTGGACACAACACACATATCAGGCCAACGAGTGACCATCACTCAAAAAATGATTTTGTCATTTGGGAGTTGTAGTTGCTGGGATTTATAGCTAACCTACAATCAAAGAGCATTATGAACTCCACTAGCGATTGAATTGAACCAAACTTAGCACACAGAACTCTCATGACTAACAGTAGCATTGTGTATCCAGCTTGGACATTCCACACTACCAAAGCCTCCTGAGTCGCAGCTCCAATGTGGCCAAAGAGGTTCTCTCACAAATCCTGCAACAATAAACCAGCTTGCAGCACTGCCTAGTTTGGAAGAAGTCAGCAATGCCATCAGCCAACAAAAAAAATAACAAAGCCAGCGGACCTGATGGGATCCCTGCTGAAATATTTAAAGAGGGACGACCTGAGCTGACACAACAACTCCCCCAGCTCATAGAAAAAGTGTGGGTGACCGAGAAAATCCCAGCAGATTTCAAGGATGCCACCATCATCACCCTCTTCAAAAAGGGGAAAGAACACTGCGGAAACTATTGAGGTATCTCCCTTGTAACTTCCGCTGGGAAAATCCTTGCAAACCGCCTTCTGCCCCTCTCAGAAGACACCCTCCCAGAATCCCAGAACGGCTTCCGCCCCTCCAGAGGAACCGTGGACAATGATCTTCACTGCACGGCAGCTCCAAGAAAAATGCAGAGAACAAAAACAACCTCTGTACATGGCATTCATGGACTTTGCAAAGGCATTCGACACAGTGAACCGCAGCGTGGCTCCTCCATGATGACATGATGGCAACAGTTTTGGACAACAAT